AAATTGACAATCAATTTCATCAAATTAACATGTAATTTCGTCAAATAAACACCACATGAGCATATAATTTTATCCAATTAAAATTTAATTTATCAAATTAACATCAAATTAACAATAAAATTCATGTAATTAATTGTAAATATTTTATGATAAGCGTTTAATTCACTAAATTTATATTCAAATTCGACTACTTAATATGAAATTAATCAAATAAACTTTCAATTTCATTCAATTAACACTTAATTCATCAAAGTAACATTCAAATTATCAAATTAAAATTCAATTTCATCAAATTAACATGTAATTTCATCAAATCAACATCAAATTAACATAAAATTTCATTTAATTAAAACTTAATTTATTAAATTAACATTCAATTCATCAATTTGATAAATCTCAATATTAATTTGATAATTTGAATATTAATTTGATGAATTGAGTATTAATTGAATGAATTTGAAAGTTTATTTGATTAATTTAATGTTAACAAGTTGAATTTGAATGTTAATTTAGTGAATTAAATGCTTCTTAGAAAAAATTGAATGTTAATTGGATGAAATTAACTGTGAATTTTGTTCTAATTTAATGAATTGATATTAGTTTAATGAATTTAATGTTAATTGATAAATTAAATTTGAATTGGATGAAATTACATGTTAATTTGGTGTTGATTTGATGAAATTACATGTTAATTTGATGAAATTGAATGTCAATTTCATAAATCTGAATGTTAATTTGATGAATTGAGTGTTAATTGAATGAAATTGAAAGTTTATTTGATTAATTTAATGTTAACTTGTTGAATTTGAATATTAATTTAGTGAATTAAATGCTTATTAAAAAAAAATTAATGTTAATTAAACGAAATTGTTTATTAATTTGGTATTAATTTGATGAATTGAATGTTAATTTGATGTTAATTTAATAAATTAAATTTTAATCGAATAAAATTATATGTTAATTTGGTGTTGATTACATGTTAATTTGTTGTAACTGAATGTCAATTTGTTAAATCTGAATTTTAATTTTATAATTTGATGAATTGAGTGTTAATTGAATGAAATTGACAGTTTATTTGATTAGTTTAATATTAAGTAGTTGAATTTGAATGTTAATTTAGTGAATTAAATGGTTATTATAAAAAAATTGAATGTTAATTTGATGAAATTGAGTGTTAATTTTATGTTAATTTGATGAATTGAATATTAATTAAATGAATTAAATGTTAATTACATAAAATTGATTGTTAATTTGGTGTTAATTTTATAAATTGAAAGTTAATTTGATGAAATAAATTTTTATTTGGGGTCTAAGTGTTACGTGAACAAACTTCAAGGGGTTTTTGTAAAATATTTCAAATGTCAGGGGTCTGAGTGATTAAGTGATAAACTTTAGAGGGCCTATGTGTATTTCACCCATTAAATGTAAATCGAATGAAATTGAATGTTAGTTTAATAAAGTGAATTTTTAATGGATGTTAATTGAATGATTATGGATATAAAAGTTAGATGAATTTAATATTAATTAAGTTAATTTTTAATATTAATTTGATAAATTGAATGTTTTTAATGTAATATTAATTTGTTATGTTAATTAAATATATTAATTTTGATTGCTGCTGCAATGATCCCTTGATCCCTGATTGCTATTGTACAAATCGGTATCAAGCTCTTGATCGCTACCGTTGATCGTAATAGTGCAGTTGATCCCAATCTTGATTATTATTTGATCCCTTGATCGCTCTTGATCGCAAGAGTGCATGATTCCTAACTTGATCATTACTTGATCCCTTGATCGTTTCTTGATTGCAAATCTGCACTTGATTAAAACAGTGGTAATGTTAATCAAAACAGTAGTAATGTTAACCATAAGAGTGATAATCTTAAACAAAACAGTGGTAATCTTAACTAAAAAAGTGATAATATTATCCAAAACAGTGGTATTTTTAATCAAAATAGTGGTAATGTTAACAAAAAAAGTTATAATATTAACTAAAACAGTGATAATGTTAATAAAAAAAATGGCACTCTTAACCAAAACAAGGATAATGTTATCCAAAATAGTGGTACTCTTAACCAAAATAGTGGTAATATTAACAAAAAAAGTGATAATATTATCCAAAACAGTTGTACTCTTAACCAAATCAGTGGTAGTGTTAATTAAAAAAGTGATAATATTAACAAAAACAGTGGTAATGTTAATAAAAAAAGTTGTACTCTTAACCAAAATAATGGTAATATTAACCAAAAGCGTGTTACTCTTAACCAGTGGTAATTGTAACAAAAAAAGTGGTAATATTATCTAAAATAATGGTACTCTTAATCAAAACAGTGATAATGTTAACCAAAACAGTGATAATATTATCCAAAACAGTGGTACTCTTAACCAAATCAATGGTATTGTTAACCACAAAAATGATAATATTAACAAAAAAAGTGATACTCTTAATCAGAACAATGGTAATATTAACAAAAAAAAGTGATACTCTTAATCAAAATAGTGGTAATATTAACCAAAAAAGTGGTACTCTTAACCAAAACAATGGTAATGTTAACAAAAAAAAATGGTACTCTTAACCAAAAAAATGATAATCTTAACAAAAAAAGTGACAATGTTAACAAAAAATGTGTATTTACTTATTTGTAAATATAAAGTTACTATAATTTCAACTTCAGTTTTAACATTGTCACTTTTTTGAAGTGTATAAGAGGTTCATGTTTAAATTTTTTAAAGTGTATAAGGGTTCATGTTCATATATAATTATCATTTTAATTTTTATTATCACTTATTTTTAAAGTGTATAGGGGTTCATGTTTAAATTTTTTAAAGTGTATAGGGTTCATGTTTAAATTTTTTAAAATGTATAGGGTTCATGTTTAAAGTATATACGAAACTAGTGAAACCGGTTATAAGTTTTTATGAGTTTTGGAGTTAACACGTGGCGAATATATATTGATTTTCACTTTTTGATATGGTACCGATTTTCGCCTTTTTAGTATTGAAGCCAACTCCGTAATTAACATCAGCGAAAAGATTCGGGGGCTAACCTAAGAGTAGCCCAATTGAGACATGAGTGAACTATTAATCTGGACATATTAAATTTGAATTTTGATAATTTTATTATGATCAAGTTATAAGATATTTATCTCTCATAAATATTTTAATACGACATGTTTAATCTGCTTTTAATCGAATAGTAAAAAAAATTAATCGAGATGTGTATAAACTAACCTAGACATTACTAATCACAATACCACCAAAAAAAATAAAAAATTTGGGGTTGACATAGAATTTCTCTTGTTTTTTTGGTATGGAGAGTGGGGCTGATTGATATCTCGAAAACACCTCACTGGAAGGTTGTGTGGGGGTGATAATGCAAATTAAACGGGTCATTTTCGGCAATAATTTGAGGTAGAAATTCCCGGTTGAATATGATTGCTGCGAGGATAACCCATAGGCGGCTCCATATACAATTGGAGGCCTAAAGCAACCAATAATAAATAGGTTTTTTATTTTTAACAAATAATTTAATTTAATTTTTTTTGGCCTTTTGAAATGAAAATTTGTTATTATATATTTTTATTAAGTTTGGCTAACATATTTTTTTGATTTATTAAATAATTAATTCACTTAGCTTTTTTTGAATTGAGATCGTCTCTATTATTTTTTTATACAATTTCACTCAATGGTAAATAACATATCATGTGTTCACGTGAGACCTATTATTTATTTGTCGACTCTTCACCCATACACGGTGAGCGATCTACTATTAAGTAAAATTATTTTAAAAAATAATGAAGATGATCTAGATTCGCCTTTCTTATAGATACTCAATCTTATAGAGCATTTTTTTAGTTTTAATTTTGAAAAACTTTCATATGTAAAAGAAACATTTACAGCATGTCAATAATATTTTGTAAAAAAATACATTCAAAAAAAAATCTATTATTTTCATAAAATTTAGTATTTCATATAGAATGTTTTCTTTTGTTAAAATATTTAAGTCTAAAAATTAATCTAAACCATCGATAGTAGAGAAATATTTGAAAATTTTTCATATTACGTTTTCAAATTAAAAAGAAAATTCCAATTTTTTAACTTAAAAATTACTCAATACATTGTGTTGTCTCATCATTAATATTTGTATTAATTTTTTTTCTCTACAAATTGTTAGTTATTCATGAAATTAAAGTTTGGTTGATTTAAAATGAGATAGAGAAAAATTTTATATTTTGAAAGAGAGTGATATACTTAATTTGAAAGGAACTTGTAGACCTTTTTTTTTCCAATAAACATATTTATTTTAATTTCAAATATTATTAAGGGTGCTAATGAGTTGGACTTTTGAGCCCAACTCTATTTAGCATTTCTTAGTTGGTTAGAATTTTTTTAGACTTATTTTTATGGTCAAAATTTTTTAATTAGATCATACTTTAAGGCTATGAAATTTAGGGGCGTTAACTAAACCCCTGCTTCAATTCCTATATACTCTTGGGTCGGCTCTGGGATAACCCAAGATGCGAGCCATAGTAAGGAGGGTTAAAGTGTAATTTATCCTGTTAAATTACTAATTGTTTTGAGTCTTTGACCGTTGTTGTTGAAAAACAACCCTCTAAGGCTCATCTCATGTGGATTTAATTAACCTTTCTGGAGTCCCCATGTGATCACCGACACTGCCAGCTACATACAACTACATCCACCTCTCACTACCCTACACTCGTATTTAAACTGTTTCTTTTACAATCACCACATGTCTGGCTGAAATAACAACCACATCTTGAAAAAGAAGTCTCTTTCACTTAAACAGCCCTGTAATTATCGCGTATGACTGTTTTACTCCCTATTCTCTTACGTGGCGTCCCATGAATGCTCCGATATGACTAGAGAACACCTGTGTACGTGTGGGCGTGCACAGTAAAAAATCCTTCCCCCAACCTCCAATTTTCCCCATAGATCTTCGTTCTTGAATTTGCTTTGCCTTCAGTACTCAAAACCAACAGGTTAACCCTCTCTCTCTCTCTCTCTCTCTCTCTCTATCTCTCACTCTCACATACACACAGAAGCGCAAAACAAACAACTATGGCGAGAGTAATGTTGATGTTAGCACTATGTGTCCTCACGGCGATCCTTAGCGAGGCCCGACCTGTGGCGAAGCCGATGATCTTGCAGGGTAAGGTCTACTGCGACACTTGCCGTGCCGGCTTCGAGACCTCCGCCACCACCTACATTACCGGTACACCTTTTGTCTTTCTCTTCACTGGCATATATTTATGTGTATATATATACTCATACACCGCATACACACTTGTGGACGAAATAATTTTGGTGTATTGTTTGAATTATTACTTGAAATCGCATTTCATCTCTTTGTAGATTATGTGTTTGTGTATGTGTATGTGTAGATCTGTACACATGACACCTAATCTAGTGTGTATCAGTAGAGATTTTGGTAAATCCAACTTAGCGTTGAGGACTACAGGTTATAGTAATGTAGTTTATACTCTCTTGAACGATTAGGGGTTAAAATTATGTTGGCTTGTTGCACTGGCCTACTTGCATTAGATCCAGCTCTGGCGCACATTTCCCATCTTCTTTTGTAAGCTTAGCCACATTATGTTATAGAAAATTCTTATATTATAAACTCATACTTACAGGTCCAAAAATAGAACTTTTATTTAACGAATGAGATAGTAGTGTCAAAAATTGAGTATAACAAGAAGAAAGATAAAATATCGTTCTAATCATATAGGTCACAAATAAATTATAAAAACTTTAACAAAATAAAAGTTAAGGAAGAAACTGACCTTTGATATGGACGGGTATGTCAAACGCTGTCCTAAAGCTCTTATAGCCTCCCTTCATGGGGGTAATCTTGGCTATGAAAACTCCAAGATACAACCCCAAGCTCACAGCCATCCGACAGTGGGCACGTCTATTAGGGATAAATTATCAAGTCTTGATCTTGTTGTACAAAATATCGAGAATGTATAATAGAGTATGCTAATAGAAGAAATATAGGAGAGAAGAGATGAGCATGTATTTTTTCGGTATGTCTCAGGAGTAGAGGTGTCTAGCCTTATTTAGGCTGCCACCAAGAAGGCGAATGACTATTGCACTTTTTTTTTTTTTGGATAAGAAACAACAATTTATTGATTACCAAAAAGTCATAACAAGTGTTAATTGTCAGTCACCCACTGAACATCCCATCTCCAGTGCCGTTCTCTCCACTTTCTCTTGACTACAATTGATACTCACGATTACACTCTTTTCCGTATTAACCTTAAGACTAGACATTTCACTAACACATCAACAATCATCTTTAAATTCCTTATTTTTTGATCATCCCCTGACGAAAAAAATATAGTGTCATCTCCAAATTTCAAATGAAAATTTGTAATCCTCTCCATCTCTATCACAGACCCATCAACTAAATTACATCTCTCTGTCCTCTCCGTCAATCTACTTAATCCATCTAGCTTCAAAATAAACAAGAACGAAGATAGATGATCTCCTTGTCTAAGCCCCTTGTAAGCCTTGAATCTACCCCTAGGTTTCCCATTCATAGATAATCTCCTTGTTTTCTCTCTTCTTTTATTGCCCCCCATTTTTTCTCTTTTTATTCACTTTTACCAATATTGGCTAATGTGGTGGTAACCAATAACTGGCTATCTGTCATGAGGGTAATCGCTAATGAACGATGTTGCACAATTGGATTAAAAAGAATTCACATCCAGAAAGGTGTAGCACCTGCAATTTTGCAAATAACATGGTGCCAATGGTCCTTTATTCTAAAACGAAAACATTGCTAGTGGTCCATATCATTCTTTTTAGAAAATTTGGTATGAAATTTATATTCGTGAAGCAATATAGTTGATAGTTTTGAAATTTATTTTGGAATAATGAACCTATATGTCAGGGTTGTCCTGTTTGTCACTTTCAAATTCACAGAAGTTAAAACCCAAGATTGATATAGTAGAACCGTCACAAGTGAGATCCATAAGATTGGGTTTCACATTGTAACAGATTGATTTGGCTGGAAGTGTAACCTGCTTAGGGTTATGGTTGAAAGATTTCCAAAAGAAGTCTAACTTCTTTTGCTCCTTAGTCCATCATGAGCAACTGAAAAGTGTAATTAACTGTGTGATTGGTTCAGATTTTGTGGTTTGGTTTTAGATTCTTTTAGTAACTGTGTTGTCCCCAAATAGGTGCCAAGGTTAGAGTGGAATGCAAAGACAGAGGTACACAGGAACTCCTCTACAGTAAGGAGGGAACAACAGACTCAACTGGAACATACAAGATCCTGGTGAGTGAAGACCATTCCGATCAACTCTGTGATGCTGTGCTGGTTAGCAGCCCACAGAGTGACTGTGCATCAGTAGACCATGGTTGTGACCAGGCTCGTGTGATCCTCACCCGCAACAATGGGATGACTTCAGACACCCGTTTTGCCAACTCCATGGGTTTCATGATGGATCAACCCATGTCTGGTTGTGACAAGGTGCTCCAGCAGTACCAGGAGTTTGAAGATTAGATCATGTTTTGGGTTTCCTTCCTGGTTCTGAATGATTAGGTTCTGCTTTTGCTTCCTGTCTTATCATTTGTTATTTAGTTGTCTATGTTTGTATTTGTTTAGAGAACTCTGGTCAATCTTTGCTTATGTTATCGCACTTAAATCAAATATGTTATGAATGCTATGACTTGATTCTCCATGTAATGAGATTGATATGGAAAGTGTCAGTCTGATAGCATGTTAAATTTTTTTTGTTTGACACCATATCACTTGTTACATTATTAACCAAGGAAATTAGGTCAAATTCTTAAGTTTTGAAAATATTAATCCGGAGATTTTGACTGGGGAATTAGAAGTTAAATAGAATTGAAGTATAGCTAGGGATTAGACTAGGATGGTGGGAGATTGCTAAGTTGGGAAGCATAAATACGGATATAAAATAGAGGTAAAATAAGATATAGATATTATGATATAACAAAATTTTTAAAAATAAGATATGAATGCGATAAGATACATCTATAAAATAATATATTTAATATTTGTATTATTATGTAATGACTTGGTAGTTATAATTGTTAGTAATACTTTAACAATAATAAAAAGTATTAACCATTCTTTTCCACTTTTAAAAAGATACTTATCGTCTTGTTATGGTATATGTGAAAAGTGAATATGATTAATTCAAGAAATAAGAACTAACATTTAACTTGTTTGTTTATTTAAAAATATTTGTTGTCAAGTTTATAGTGTCATCAAGCCATTTATATTCTTTTGACATGCGATGATAGAAATACTTGACAAACACGTATGTATTTCAAATTTATCGTTTTTTTGTTGATGTATTGTATTGTGTGAGAATTCAAAAGAAGAGAGTAAAGATTGAAACAAAAAATTATACATATTTTTTGGCATATATTGGTATCTGCAAGATAGTCATATAACTTCGACAAGTACTTGAAATATAAAAAGAGTATGCCGTTTATTGAAATTAAAATTCAATACTTATTGTCGGATATGCATGGTGTCTATCCAATATGGATAAGCAGACGATAACACATTATATTTAAAGAGTAATGCTACGTGAACTTAAAAAATAGAGTTAAAAATTAGACTTGATAATTACAACTATTGATTTCACTATAGGCTTCAATAAATGTTGGGACTCACTACCTATTCAATAGTTGTAATTATCAAGTCTAATTTTTAAGTCTATTTTTTAAGTTCATGTAGCATTACTCATATTTAAATCATAGAATAAGAGCAAAGTTTACTTAAGTGGTAGAATTTTGAAGCAAAAAATGTTTAATGGCATTTAACCTTTTCAAAAAGAAAAAACACACGTGCTCACACACCTCTAATGCTCAACAACCAGTAGAATAGGAACAATTTGGGGGTATATTCTTATAGAAGCCCTTTCATTGACTAGCTTTGCCTCATGGTTTATGAATGGGTAAACATTGGCAATGGGATACGAAGCTTGTCTCGGTCAATCCATATCACTAGTTCAAGATTTTCATGTTCAATTTTTGTAAGAAAATCACGATTTACTCGAGGTATTGTTTTGTGCATAGTTGCACATATTTGAAATTTGTTATAATCACCAACTTAAAGAACATTTGATTGACATAGTTTTTTATAGGATGAGGACAAGACGAGGACAAAAAGGTAGGTGGGTGTAAATACCGGATGGCCTACAAACCTCCGTGGTCCGAAGACTCCGAACACGTGATGTAAAACACCCATGGAGTTAGGTGGTCTGTTGGGGGTATTTGAAGAGCTGCTTTGTTTGGTATCTCATGGGTATTGTCTTAGCTGTTTGGTATTCATTTTTTTATTTTTATTTTTTATTGCGGTCAAGGATGTCGGTGTCTAATCTTGAGGGAATTATTAAGTTTTAAACTTAAAATGTTTGAATTGATACTTTATTTCCAAGAATTTCATTTACGGAATATTTTCGAAGTTTCTTTATGCCCAAGCTTACCAATTTCAAATTAAATTATAATCAAATCAGATATAAATATATCAAATCTCGAATATGTAAAATATAATATATCAAATTTAAATTTTATTTTAAATAATTAACCAAAAATGTTAATCTATGCCCGCTTAATTGGATTCGCATTCTTAAATAGCATCCAAGAATTTGAAAAAAAAAATGGATACAACGGTGACTCCGCGTGAAATTAATGATATGGTATTATCGACCAGTAATAAAATATAAAATAAATTTAATGGAGTCTATTATTTTACTAACTACTAATAACTACCTATATCTATGTTAGAATAATAGGGTTCACTAATCATATTTGTTGTTTTATGATTGATCGACGGTATCACTGTTACACCCGATATTTACTCCAACACTTAACAGGAAAAGTTTTCTCACATGATACAAAATGATACAATACAATAAGTTTGAAATTGAATGTTATATGTCATCAGTCGAATTGATAAAGAGCAATGTAATGTTATACAGAATTAATTAGATAACTTAATTTATTATAGTTATTGAATAATTTGTGAGTATTAATATTAAATAAAACTCATTTTTAATTTAGTAATTATTAAATCTTCAAATTAAATAAAAATAGTATTATTATTTTTTTAATTGGAAAATGTATGATGCCAGAAAGAGAAAATGGAAAGTTAGAACCCAGAAATGTCAAAGCAGCCATTGCAGCTACTAGAGGGCCGTCCAGACCTACCCACCAAGAAAATATAAATACACACACACAGCACCCACATGGTTGGTGACTCTAAGTTTGCCAACTGTGGGAGTGTAAAGGAAGAAACTTGGCACTTTTTGGGTTCTTTTCGGAAACCATCTCTGGACAACGACATCTTCGAAGCATATACCCTCTCCCTCTCTCTCTCTCCCTCTCTCACTCTGTGGATTATGTCAGTTGAATTGAAGAATGTATGGTAACTGGCATCACTTTCAATCAACAGTGATTTGTTCTCTGTCTGTTTTGCCAGTAATAAATTCTGCCACCTCCCATAACTTAGCGTAGCATTTCCTTCTTAGCCTCCTAGGTTTCTTCGAGATACCAAAGATCAGCTGTTTTGGCCTTCAAATAATGTAAGATCTCTCTTTACATTTTCCTTCGTTGTTCAACTACCCGTTTGATTTTTGTGCTTTTTATTTTTCCCTCTCTTGCTTGTGCGTGAAAGATTTCTCAATATGCGTATGGGTTGTTCTTCTTGTTGCTGTTCTGGAATACCCATTTGCTAACTTTTTTGATTTGTTCTTCTCGGACGGTTGAATTTCTCTGCTTTTCTCTTCTACATATCATACATTGGCATTCAAAGTCAATAATAAAATTCTGTTTAAACTTTTATCTGGATCTGATTTTTTATTTTAATTTCTGGCTTGTCGTAAGTATGTGAATGATGGGAGGTTGGTTTCTTCTCTTTTTTCAATGATAGTTGTTGTGGATGTTATTTGGGCTTTGGAATGATTATGGAAAATCATAGCTTTTTAGATCACATGAGCTTGTCCTCCTCTTGTATTTGGAAGATTAAATTGTGGGTGTAACTTGGATTTGTTGGATCGTCCGTAATTAACCTAAACTAGCTTTTGACGTGGTGGTTAATTAGCTTTCTTAGTGCATAAAACCATTAATCATGTGATTAAGAGATTGTTCAATTTACGTTATTTTCAGTTCTCTTTCTTGTTTCTTTTCCCTCCTTTTTTCCAATTGCTTTTCCTTTTAGGTGATAAATCATTTGCATCTGTCTCTAAATCAATAAGCTTGCTTGGATTCAGCAATAAGTTTCCTTTCAACATGCATAAAACCCTTAGTTATGTGATAACGAGCTTATATAATCCACATTATTTTAGATTCCTTCCCCCCCCCAAAAAAAAATCCCATTTTTAATCCGTCTTGCATCTTCCTTGGTTGCTGCCCTTGTGGGACAGTAGAGACATGTACAGCTAATTTTAACAGTGAGCTTGCTTTGATTTGGACATAATTTAACCACTGAAGTGTGTGCCACAGTTTCTATGCATTTTGTTTAGTGAACTGTGTTTTGCGCGTTTGTGAAATACATGTGCTTACATAATTACTTGGGAATTGACTATTTTCAGAATGGCTGCAACTGCTTTTCACCAAGCTATTGGGTCTCTTCAGTCCCATGAATGCTTCCATGGTTCTGGCTTCCATCTGGAGTCTCAGAATGCTTCAGTGAGCTTGGTATCAAGAGGTTTCAGTGTCGAGGTTGGACTTTTGAGAGGAGGAAGTTATTGCTCTAAAAAGAAGAGTTTTAGTGTTATTCAATCCTCATCATCTCAGACTGCAGTGTTCGACCCTGTTTTATCGCCATCAAATAAAACCACCAATGATTCCAAAAAGAAATCAAGTAACAGTTCTCTGTTTGACTCTTTTAAGATCAGTGAAAGCTCGGCTAATAAACATTGTTTGTTTGCACTTTATTGTACCTTAATGATTATATTTGATGAAATTAATAACTTCCTCTCTGATCATAACCCAGTTTTTTCAAGTGAATGTCAAATTTTACTTAACCGAAAAATCAACGATGTCAAATTTTTATTTCCTCATGGTCTGGAGAGTGGAATAATTTTCTTTAGTGAATCTTTCTAATTGCTGATTTTGTTTCCTTTTCAGATGAAGCGGCTTTGATTTTGATCCGGCATGGTGAGTCTCTGTGGAATGAAAAGAACTTATTCACAGGTTGTGTGGATGTGCCATTAACCAAGAAGGGTGTTGAAGAGGCAATTGAAGCTGGTAAGAGGATCAGCAACATCCCTGTCGACATGATCTACACGTCTTCACTGATTCGTGCGCAGATGACTGCTATGCTTGCCATGACACAGCACCGTCGCAAGAAGGTAATTTGTCCAAACATATCACGATAAAGTGCTCGTTATATCTTCCTTTGATGGGGATTCCACATCCTGGGAGTTGATAGGATATCTCACAGCATGTTGTTAAGCACAAAGTAATTGGTAGAGATAACAGGATTTGAACCATATGACATCTTTGCTACCAACCTGGAGTCTTCCCTTTAAATTGGTATATATCTAGATCATGGATCAAAATTTCGTTTCGTTGCATTGTTTTGGTCATCTAGGAAACAGAAACGTTTCGACATATTTCGGAAATGTTTTTGACTAGTTTCGAAAACAGAATGGAAAAAAATAAAAAATTTAAGAATTATTTTTTTAAAACATTAGTCGAAATATAACAAAATATTTGAAATACTTTAAAACATTCCGAAATAATTGTGTAAATGCATAGAAATATAAAAAAACATTTCGAAACATTATGGAACACCTCGAAGTATTAGAATTTCGATTTCATGACTGATTCGTTTTGGTCTCCTTGGAAACGGAAATGTTTCGGATGTTTCGACCGTTTCGAAACGATATTTTGATCATTGATCTAGATGTATGTGATGAGCATTTTTGACTTAATTGAAGATTTGTGGCTTGGATAACAGAATCTTTTTCTTTTTTTTTTCTAAACCTTTCTATTCTAATTCAACCTCCTGCTGCAGGTGCCTATCGTTACACATAATGAGAGTGAACAGGCAAAAGCATGGAGTCAAATTTTTAGTGAAGAGACCAAAAAACAGTGTATTCCAGTGATAACTGCTTGGCAGCTAAATGAAAGAATGTAATTATATCTCTGTTTCTGCCATTCTGGTTATTCCTCCTGCATGTTGTCCTCACTATATGGTTACCTGCACAGCATATTAATTCTTCTATTTCAGGTACGGGGAATTGCAGGGTCTTAACAAGCAGGAAACAGCAGATAGATATGGAAAGGAACAAGTTCATGAGTGGCGTCGAAGTTATGATACACCACCACCAAATGGCGAGAGTTTGGAAATGTGTGCTCAGAGAGCTGTTGCTTACTTTAACGAACAAGTAAGCAAAGACGATTTGCTTACTTTTTAATTATCCTCAGATTTATTGTTCTCTGAGCTTGGAAAGATAATGTTACAGATTGAACCCCAACTTCTATCCGGAAAGAATGTAATGATTGCTGCCCATGGGAACTCACTGAGGTCTATCATTATGTATCTTGACAAACTAACTTCCCAAGAAGTGAGACTTTAATTTTATTGGTGGTGCACCTGCTATGTGTCACTTCAGTTTGTTTCTAAGTTTGTCACCATGTTATCAGGTTATCAGCTTAGAACTGTCAACTGGAATACCTATGCTTTACATATTCAAGGAGGGAAGGTTTATCAGGAGAGGAAGTCCTGTGGGACCATCTGAGGCGGGGGTTTATGCTTATACTAAGGTATACAACTTTGCCATGCCATGCCATCTTTGAATTTAACTTGGACAATTGTGCTTGGCAGATCAAACAGTATCTAAGATCTTGATGAACTTGTGATTGTTTGTAACCACGTTACTGGTCCAATTTTTGTAATAGAAAGAAGGAAAAGGTGACGAATGTAGAACCTTAAATTTGTTTGGAATTGCTTGCTGTTCCATTGTAAAATTCCAGTTTTCTTTTCCTGTGACTTTCTAAGGTTCTCTTTCAAAATAAGAGAAGTTTTGAACTCATACGTGCAGCAAGTCCATCCACTATACATGGACAGAAACCAAATACGAGTCTTAAGTGGCTTATATTCATTGGAGCAGATGTTAGGTGTTAACATGGTGCGCAATATGTCAATTGAGAAACTTTTTCTGTCACAATTTTGTACAACCTGAGATCATACTTTATTGTCATTTTATCTGGATGCGTCTAAAACAACCTTGACTAAGAACTCTTCTAGTTTTCTCCCAGTATTTTTATCATGAATAAAAAAAAACATGTAATTTACTCGATAATTCCTATATTTTAACAGTGGACCTGACCCAGGGATTCCCCTCTTGTCATCCATTGGATCAATATCCTTTATAGGAAATAACTATTGCAATTGGCCCTTATAACTGTAATAACCATAGGGGTAAATGTACTGCTCTTAGAACTGAAGGTTCTGGAAACATCTGTTACCTAATCTTTATTAAAAAATATTTCTTAAATTGTATTTGTATAAATAGTGCACGACATACAGGAACTCAGACCCCCCAGCTTCCCCACTAGGGATGGCTAGAGATACCACTCAATCTAACAACTATTCAGATTGACAAAGACCATGGCATTATTTAATTTTTTAGGAATGTAATAAAGTTTTGTAAGAAGTTTCAGATATGATTATTCAGACTGTGTGACTTATTATATTGAGGTAATCTACTATGTAGTTATAGTTTTCTCAATATCTTGAGGTTTTTGCCATCTCAAAAGATATATGAAATTCTTGCTTTATGCAGGGTTTGGCCTTATACAGGCAAAGATTAGATGAGATGTTTCAGTGATTTATTAGAGGTAATGGTCGAATTTCTGACTCGCTTCTGCTTTTGAACTTCTGATCAAAGCTTGTCTATGCTCACTTTTTTATGGTTTTTGTAGGGTCTCACCTCATTGCATTCACAATATTCATACTTAGTTGTGTCATATTCAGCTCGAGAAGAAAATTGTGTGAAAATGCAAGTTATTGTGACAAAAATTGGATGCAGTTCTCAATGCTAGGTCAGGAAGGTGGCTACTGGTTTTCTGTACTTTTGTATGTGTCAATCAAGCCTAGTTGTTTTATTCTTCCGAGTTATTTTATTCTATCTCAGATGTTTGTGATATATTGTGGAATTTATATCCCTGATGGAGACTGCCATAATAGAGCGAATTTCTGGATCTTTTTTTTTTTTTCTCTGTTCCCTTCTTTTTTCTATTTGGCTGCGTCTTGTCTTATTTTTGCCTCATTTACATCTTTGTTTACAAAAAATTTCCCAAGACCTGTGCGGCATTGTTTTGCACATAAATCTCTTGCAACGAGGTCTGTACAACCAATGATTCAATTTTTGTTGTTCATTAACCTCTATGTAAATTCATGAACCATTGAACATCCCTCGTATAGAAATGTCCCCTTCTCCTGTCGTACTCAATAACTATTCTCTGCTAGTGAATGAGGCTCAGTTCTGAATCTCCTAAAGAAGCTTCTGTTCACCTCGACTATTTGGGGTTGGAGCTGGATGTTTTGGTGCATTTGTGCTGCGTACTCAGTTTCTCTACGTTTTGATGCATACCATCTAGGTTGCCCATCTTGTGCATGTGTACTAAGGTTAGTCTCTGCTTGTTTTGTTTCTATTTTTTCTAGGTCATGTTCTTACATGCTTTTTTGAAATGAGATTAGACATGTGGACAGGGTCATCTTCAACCTGTTAAAACCCTTTTCAGGATTTCATACACCAGAGCTATGTGAATATCTATGTGCTACCACTACAGTATAGTTCAGAATAACCGATGCATAGTCAGGCAGTGTACTCTGAGGCAATAAGTTTAGAACCAGAATGGCTGTGTGAGGTTTCAAGCTCAACCCACACTAACAGCCTTGACAACATTAGGATAGATCCAAGTACCCTTTTTCCTTTTTTTGGGTTTCCATTAACCCCTATCAGATCTTTCGGAATCAAGTTTCTTCTTCAATGTAGGCTAATAAATCCAATACAAGGCAAAAAGAAAAGTGGGGGAGGGGGGGGGGAGGTGTGATTGGACACATATTACAGGTAACTAGATGGCCATCATCGAGGCAAGAAAGCAAGAGGCACTAGGCGTTCTTTGAATGGCAAGGCTGAGTCGTGGACATGCTTCAATTCAAACAAATCCACAAAACAAGTTCCATAGAGTATGAAGATGATGCCATGGGTTCAATACCGCCAGTGTCAATCCCATAGCTTGTCACCTTGTCTCCATGCATAAGAATGTCGATTACAACATAGACACTTGAATCAACTTAAGAGATGAAACTTAGGTCTCACTGCCTGTTTTGGAGTACATTTCAACAAGACCCGTTTTCTTTCCCTTGCTGAACCATCCGTGTCTACGGTGGTAGCAAAAATATTTTAGAGATAGCTTCATTTGACAGTTCGAAGACCTTGGACAGTTAGCAATACTAAATCCATGCAGTGTTACACAGTCAGTTACAATGATTGGGCTCCAGTATTGTGGTTCTCGCATACTAGTTTATATCTCCATTGCCCTTGCTGCAATTTGCGAACTCAGACAAATTGTCCTCAAGAGATAATTCCTTTGCCACAACTTGAAGAGATGAGGACTTCTCTGCTTTTTCATCTGATGCGTCAGAATCTGATTCTGAAATCTTAGAATTGATAGAGGCAGTTGCCATGGATGGTTGAGGTGTAGCATCGGGAAGATTTCCTCTCGTCCAGAAAGAAGGCATCCTCTTATCATCTTCTCTCATCCTCTCTGCGTACTTATTGATGTCGAACCCTGTATTATCTTTCCCACCAAAGGCAGACTCAATCAGGTCCATGTCAAATAAGTCCTCCATGATCTTCCTGCTATTGGGGTCACCTGAGTAGACAAACTTGACTTTGTTGACAGTCTTGGGCTCTAAAAAGGGCTTTGCCACCTGCAACAGTATAATCTTTCAAATGTTAAGAAACAAATACCGGAGTTTCCACCAAGGCACTAACAACCAGAATACCCGCACAGATGTATATATACAAATCATTACTTTGTAGTGGTGATTAGTAACTGGACAGTTCAAATGAGTATCCATTAGCATGTCTTTGTTCAGTGGTCAGAATTATCCAGAAACACCTAGTCAGTAGCATGATCATAAATAATCAAAACCATATGATAGTTCACCAACACAATACCTGTGCCTTACTGCAAACTTACCAATTTCAAAAAGGAATGGTAAAGATTTGGATATATATTAAACTTCAATGAGGACTAAAACTTTAATCAACATTAATGAGATCCAGTAATAATTATGGTTCATCAAATTTTGAAAAATATTTATGTAAGAACAATTAAAAATTGTTGAAGTTTCAAAATGTGCGTAAAAATACAGCAAAATTTCCATTATAAAGTCCAGCTGGGATGTAAAACTCTGGTTTTTAAGCTTTGTGTACAGTATACCTTATGAAATGGTTCACCCAACTATGGTACCATGCATCCCAAAGGCCCAATTATAGGCACAAGTTATCATCTAATTCGAACTTGCGTATCACTAAACAAATAATTTGAACTGTATCAAAAAACGGTGGTGTCATTGTGATTGGGACTACATCAAAGATGACGAAAAACAAGGTGCAAAAGAGATGTACCATCCAGAACGGTTCAAAGAACTTGGGCGGGTTGTATAAGATTGCTATACCCAGCCTCTCAGGATAATGCTCTTGCAAGACATGAGCTGTTTCACGTGTCACCATGATTGAGATATTTGACAAATTGAAACCATGGAAATCAATCAGCCATACCATCTGTTCTTGGTTTGGTGGCAGATTTAAAATTGCATTCTCCATGCAATACACCAAATACCTAATTTGTCCTTTTATTGACTTCGAGTTCTGCAGTCAAAGACAAATTTAAGGAAAGGCCACAACACAAAAGCAGGCATCTTATGAAATTTGAATACTAAGATGTGTTATAGAATTTTTCTAGAGATAAAAATAGATCCATGCTAGGCCAATATAACAATTACGTTCAACAGAACCACGTATAACAAATAGGCAGCAAGGTTTCTCACCGACAGATGCAGTTATATAGATATAGGGCTGCAAATGAAAGGAGTTGTTCCTCAAAAGCTCAAGATTGATTTGTATTGGAGATTGTTCAAGTTCGCTCATTTAAAAAACATAGCAAGCTCAAGCCCAAGTTTAGAGTTCATTTAATAATTGAGCTGAGATAAAACAATGTCTTGTACACCTTGCCAGAGTCGTGAACAAATGGAGCTATAAATACATATATTGTTTTCAAGAATATACGTACACAGAGAAACACTTCCAAAAACAAGATGCATTTCCAAAAAAAGAAATAGAAAAGACAAAGGAAAGAAAGAGCAAGTGAGAACAAAGGGCACATAGTTCGACCCACTGGCAACAGTTAAGGAGCACCAAGTGGAACTATTATCCCACATGGAAACTTAACGACAAAGACCAGCAATTGGCCCTATATGAGTGGGAGTAGACTTCGGCACATACCCACCAACTGTTCAGTACCATACAGAGATTTGGCACATTTGTGTAGCTTTTATCACATTTGTGGTAGCTTTTATCACATTTGTGGATAGTTTTACCACTTTTGCGGTACCCAAAAAAGTAGTAAAAATATTTACCACAACAATAGTAAAAGCATCCACAAATGTTGTAAAAACACCGACAAATGTAGTAAATTAGTCACAAAAATAATAATTTTTTTGTACTTAAAAAATATGGTAAAAATAGTTATCACAAATGTAGTAAAAATACCCACAATAGTGGTAAATCAACCACAAAAGTGGTAACTATTGTGGTTGTAAAATGACCCACAAAAGTTGTAAAAATATTCTTTGAAGTAGTAAATTTTGGAGGTATGTTACTGAAATTTTTTTGGCTGCACCATAGTCAAGTCCATATGAGTAACGACATCAATCCCTCATTGGAACAACATCAATAGCAATTAGCGGTGGCTCTTTATGAAAAGAACTTTTGGTGACCGCTTTATTTAGATTTATGCGTGGGGCCCCTGGCGTAGTAAGCTTCTAACCGAGGCAAAGTGAGCCAAGTTGAGTCCGAGTGTGGTTAAAATTAGGGTTAATTGCCAGTTGCACCCGAAAGATAGTTCGAATCTCAATTTATACCCCCAAAGATTAAAAATCTCAATTTGCACCCTCAAAAATAAAAATTTGTATCAATGTGCACCCTAAAAGATAAAAAATCTCAATTTGCACCCTCAAAGATAGAAATTTGTATCAATGTGCACCCCCAAAGATAAAAAATCTTAATTTACACCCCCAAAGATAGAAATTTGTATCAATATACATCTAAAACTAAATTGATAAATTATATCTAAATCCTCTCATACTTGTCACTTAATCATTTGGACCCCTTCACGTTTAGAATATTACTCCCACATCTCATGGCGTTTGTGCACGTGTAACACATAACCCTTTTTTGCTGATGTATGTTAATATAACCGTTAAAAAATATAATTTTATCCTAATAAAAAATTATAATTTCATATTATCCTTTATTTTGTGAGTCCGATATACTCTAAAGTTCAAAATCAAATTTACTATTTGAATGTCCAATAAAATGTAGATATTTATAGAATATTTTTTATATCCAATGTAATATATCACTCAATGTGCAACCCTTTATTCTATTAGACATTCAAATTGTATGCCTGATTTTGAATTTTAGAGTATATTGGACCCATAAAATAAAGGGTAATATGAAATTATAATTTTTTATTAAGATAAAATTATATTTTTTAACCGTTATATTAACAGATATCAACAAAAAGGGATTACGTGTTACATGTGTACAAACGTCATGCGATGTAGGAGTAATATTCTAAAAGTAAAGTGGTCAAAATAATTAAGTGACCAGAATAAGAGATCTAAGTATAATTTATCAATTTAGTTTTAGTTACACATTGATACAAATTTCTATCTTTGATGGTGCAAATTGAGATTTTTGATATTTAGAGGAGCAAATTGATACAAATTTCTATCTTTGAGAGTGCAAATTCAGATTTTTGATCTTTAAGGGTGCAAATTGAGATTCGAATGATCTTTCAGGGTGTAATTTGCAATTAACCCTTAAAATTACATTGGAAAGAGTTGAGCAATTATTTAAGGCTTATTACAAATCCAAGCTGATTCCAGCCATGTCCTAAAACTAGACAAGCCAAGTCCAAACAGTTGAGTACTTCGACACAGTTTGGTTTGGTTTGGTTTGGTTTATTTGCACCCCTACATAGATATGTCTATAGTCATCCAAAGCCCAATCGATAAAATTTGTGCACCTTATCAATGAGTCAATTTTTTTTCTAGATATCTTATTTTCCTTTTACTGGAAATTAAGAAGCACGCGCATGAATACGAGATATGGGTGTGACACGACACGAATACGCTGACACATTTTTTCAAAAAAAGTAGGATACAGACACGTTGAGGACACTTTAAATAATACGCATTTGTTTGTGTGTGTGTGCGTGTGTATATATATAAAATCATGTGATAAAATAAAAATATTATTATAATAATTTTTTTAATTCATCCTTTCCATAATTCTAAAAGTTCATATCATGATATACCATATATAAAATACAATATAAGATATGTTGATACACATTCATCATTATCTATGATCTAACAATCAATGACTACTATAATTTTTATTTTAAAAAATAGTCCACTCTAAAACACTAATTTTCATCAATTTTAAAGAGCCTCAATCTTGTAACCCGATTTTTCTTCACAGTTCACACTATTTTATATTAAAAATTTATTCTATTTGTATACAAATTCGTATTTGTATTTGAAATTATATTACATTCATTTTCTATGTTCAATGTAGTGATTATAACTCATTTTATATTATGATTTTGACTCATATATCTTCAAAATTACAAAAAATAACTCCATTAATAATAAGTTATATGAAATGTTTTTAAAAAATTGAAAAAAAAAACTAAACACACGTCCTCTGCGTGTCCCTAACATATCCCGAAAAAAATTTAATACTAAAAAAATTGAATACTCATTTTAGCGTGTCCGTATCCCAAACATGTCCAACACCACACTCTGGCCTAAATGAAGTGCCCGTGCTTCCGAGCTGGGAAAGTTGAGGCCCGAGGGTGCCAGAGGAGTGTGATAAGAAATAGAGAACCAAAAGCAAAATAAAGTCATTAATCCCAACAGGGAAATAAACAATTATACACTTCAAAACCAACATTTGGCCCACCGAGGGTTCTTGAGAGAACATATCTTCCAGATAAATTTCAGACCACTGACCAAATTGCTACCATGTAAGACTAAATGATTGCATGACAAATGGATAAAATTAGAGGAGTTGAGTGATGAAACCTGGCAACTGGGTCTCATAACCAAAACTGTTCTCCTGTGCTTGTCTACATAGTTTGACCTGTAAATTTTCCCCGTTTCTGCCTCATGAGCAACCTCATCCTACATTGTAAACCAACCAACTGAAATTGTTTGGACAACATGTCCTGAGAAATATCAATGAACTTAAATCTGGTAAAACTAACCAAGGCCAATCATATTCCTTGGAAGGTGTATGATAGGAAATAGTCACATAGAAAGTTCCGTAAAGTTTTCACTTCACTCTCCAACATATCAGATTATGAGTATCTGTTTGCGTAACTATGTTAACATATAATGTTGCTTTAGTGACTATTCAACTCTATCTACTCTAATTATTGGTAACACTGCTATGAGTCATAGCATACAAGAGTCAAAATTAGGATCATTTGATATCTCTCCAACCTTGGGCAAATAATATAACATAGAACAAACCACACATTAATACTACGGATTAAAATTCCAAGAACAAATCCTGTAAATATCACCTTCTTCATCAAGTTACACAAACAACATCAATTCACTCTTTCAATCATACTAAAGTTGCAAATAGGTCAAGTTAATTCAAGAATAAAGAACATGATATTAAATATGGCGCATGAATACACCAATATTGTTACACATTGGTTGTTGTGATTCTTTCACTAATATGTGTGCTATCCCCAATAAGAATGCATTGAGCTGAACTTGGGAAACTTAGACCCTATGCCAAAATTATGACATAATTAAAAAGCAGCATCCATTCCATTCATGGATTTTGACTTTAAATGAAACATAAAGAAGAAAAAGTAAGCATTAGTTACCCAGCGAATCTCTTCTGGCTTGTATTCCAATCTCCATTTTAAGGTAGCTTTGAGCATTTTAGTTGCCTTCTTGACATTCCAGTTTCGTGCCCTTAAATACCTTGAGATTGATGCATCAGAACAATAAAGAAGCAACTTATCCGATAGTGGCCCAATCAATCTTCTCACCTCATTAATCTGCACATAAAGAAATTATGAGCTTTCAGTCGTTTCTCCCCTAAAGATAGCACTTTTGTGATCCCAACATCATAAAATCAATATAGAGATGAATCACTTACTAGTCATTTACTTATGTAAAAGCAGAGCATATAACATAAGATATACCTTTTCCTGCTGCTCTTCTGATGCCAAAGGATTCTCACAGCCAGCTGGAGTGGATTTCTTTAACCCTTCACTCATAGCTTTCGGGAAAGATGTCCTCTAGAGTTGATAATGATACTTTTAAAATTTACAGTAACATCCAATGAAAGTGTTTAAACAACATTATACTGTTTCTCAGCCCAAGAAGAAAAGGGTGAAGCATGGAAAGGAAAAGGGACATATCAAAACAGAAGTTGAGAGACATGTCTAACAGAGGCACGATAATGGTTACATCTCTTTTTCCATCCAAGCAAGAAAGAAATAAGAAAACCATAAGACAGAAAAGAAAATTCACAAAATTACTTTGCGCTAACTCAAAATAGTGAAAAGCTACTTGTAGTGAATTTACTTTTCAGTGTTTCATTTCTGAAATAGAAAAAAAATCCTCTCTCAGGATGGCTAGGTCATCTACATAATAAACAAATTGTGTGGAGAGAACAGAACCAAGGAAAAAACGCATTAATATTATAAATGACAGCACTTAAAATTAGAGGATTCCGACAGAAACATTTTTTTTCTTTGCATTCCAATAGAAAACAGTTTGGTCCTTTTGTAGCATATCTATATGGTCTCTAACCGTGAAGGAAGTCATATATTTCGTTTTGTGGATCAAATCAGCCTACCACTTTGTTTGAACGAGGGATGAACACCATTTTCACATAAAAGGAGGAGGTTGAATATCTAGGCCATTTACCAAATGACACAAGATCCAGGAACATTAGTTCAACCTCCATCTTTATCAAGCTTCAGAAAGATAGAGGGTGCCAAGCAACCAGCTAGCCCGTCTCCAATTGCTTTTTAGCTAATAACTAGCTTGTTGCAGTGTTGGTGAAATATGTAGGACACAGGATTTAATAGCACCTTCATAAGGTTGCAAGAATTCTATCGGATGGTTATATAGAATCCCCCATTGTGGCAGATGACAATACATTAAACCTTGATAAATAAGTCCATGAGTATTCATATTTCCATTGTTCCACACAACTATGGTATACCTAAGTATGTTGAAACATGCAAAAAAATATTTGTTTTTTTTTTTTTGAAGGATCACCAATAAAATTAGGTTTTCTCATTAATTAAGTAGTCCTTCCAAAAAAAAATTATCAAATTTAAAATAAAAGAATTCAATAAACTCAGGAGAAATCAAGACACAAAATAGAAGCCAAGAATCGCACTCTATCCCCCAACCTCAATCTCTTCCTAGACTTTTATTTTCTAAACCATAGAACCCAAAATATTGCCAATATAGCATTCACTATTGAAGATTGCTTTTCTCAAAGTTTAGACCCACCATTCATTTAGGACTAGAGTTTAGAGCTCAGTCACAACTATTAGTGTTGCCAACACAAAACGATAGACTCTGTTCTCAGCATGCAACCGTAATGGCTAAATATTTTCCACCTATTAGCATACTACTTCATCAAAAACATGTTAGAGAGTTGGAAAAAATTTTGGGCCTGTATATTCATCACCTAAGGTCATTACCAGTTTTTTGTAGAAGAAAATAAAAAAACATTGCATTTTTGAACTCATTGGCATTGACCTCAAGTCAACTCATGATTAAAGATTGAGTTGTGCTTCTTTAATTGAAACCCTTTCAATCATACTTTTCAGTTTTAATACGCCACAGAAAACACAATCAAGATGATTGGAGGCTCAGTACGAGGAACTGTACTCAACCAGTCACTAATTATGCATAGTCCTCCCTATTGCTAGGCAGATAGTTTATTGGATTATGAAGTAGTAGTCAAAAGGAAGATCTTACAACAGCACTACTAACAAAAATATTTCAAAAACTGATATTTTAAATTTTCATCTCCTAACCTATATCTTGTAGCAAATCAAAAAAAAGCTTACAACATCTCCAACCCTTAACCATTTTTTAAACCCAAATTTAAAATTTGGATAAAAAAGCCCTTAAAAACCTTCTCCAATTATAAACTTAGACCCATAAACAATCAAGGGACACTTAAACTTTTGCTCAAATGAAGGAAGACTCAAACATTTACTTAAACCACCAATAGTTAGATTTCATTCTTCTTTAAAGATTTAATGATCATATTTCACCCTACTTTATATTTAAATTTGTCCATTGAAGCTCTTCATATAAAATCAACATTTTTAATCAAATTTGAGTAAAGATTTGAGTCAAGGCTAAAGATACTCTTAAAAATAATGATTTGTTCAATTTCAATCATCTAGCAGTTGCAAATATACCATCTTCCGCTTTAGATTTAATCAAAAGTTAGATTGTAGTCCCAAAGCCATTAGGGAACAGTTGATTATGTACTGACATGAATCTTAGGGAGAGAGATCGGGCACATTGCTAGTGATCATAACTAGTACCAAGACCTAGATAATCAACAATGGGGTACCATCCGAAGCATTAGTTCGAAAATTGATTTAATGGGCGCCTTTTACTTTAGAAATTCAGCACATTCAACACAATAATATCGAAATTCTATAAATTGGGGTTTCTCAAGGGCATTGCATGTTCAACAGAATATCGAGCTAATCAAGGAAAACTGAAGAGGTAAGAGAGTATTATGGAACCCCCTTGCACAAAGTATCAAGATAAAGACGCAGGATGCTAAAATGAGCAACAAATTAGCTTGATAGATGCAAGAATTGAGGCTTACCAGCTGTGTGGTTGGGACGATGATTCGGAGATCTCAACGACCACAAACTATCAAGACCAAGTCAACCGATTACAAGGGTATCCATAAAAATAGAGGTCGGAGATGGGTTTGCCTTGTTTTGAACGAATATATGTTGGGTCTGTACGCAAGCAATGGCGCAAACCATGTGAAGAAACAAAGCATTCGAGTAAAATAGTACTTTGGATGAAGTTCAACATGTCAAAACAAAAAATCAGTAAAATATAACCCCTTTTTTGTAAATCTAAATCAGTGAACTTTAGGACACCATGTGGACACCGGCGATTATCAGCCGCTCAAACTTATACTTAATTAAAGAAAATTCATGTTTTTTACTCAAATCAACGTAGACTTAAATCTTTAATGGTGAGATTTTTCTATCTTTTAAAAATTTAATGGTCATTATTACTCCCTTTTAAATTTAGATTTGCCCTCATTTAAATTTGAGTCTCTTTTTTTTTTAAATTTGAGTCTGTTTATTGGAGTGTTTTATATCAAATTAAATTTTTTACTCAAATATTAATTTAAATTTGAATAAAAATTTGAGTTATGGTTGGAGATAGTCTTATATGTATTAATGTATGACTCTTTTTTTAGAACAACGCTATATTTATCAAAACTTTAATCAAAATTTTTATCTTAAATTAATTTGAATCATAGGATCACTAGATCCCACAAAATTTCAATCTATCACATCATTTAGCATTTTCCAATTTTTTTTATCACTATGTGTGTAGCTCTGTTGTTAAGAAAACTCTCTTTTTTGTTCGTGTGGGAATTAGTTAAGTACAATTCACATTTTCTTTAGTCACATATTTTCGATCTAATTTGGTTAGACATTCTTGGTTTTTTCGAGATTCTATTAATCAAGATGTTAAGAAGTTAATTCTTGTTAAAACTAAAAACAAAGCTTAAATTTTAATATACCTTATGTGAATATTCCATCATATATTTTTTTTTTCAAACTTTCCATTCATCTTTGTTCTCTACCATTGATGTTTCTTCTAGTTTTTTAATTGTCTTGCATTAAAAATTTGATAAATTAGTGATATTTGATTCTTGGGTTTTTAGTTTTTAGTTTTTTTTCTTTTTGGTTTGGCTTGGTTTTTTTTGAGTGGTAGGCTTTTTTTGATACAATACAAACAAGACTCAAAAATTAATACAATAAAGTTGGTCATTACTTAACACAAACACTAAAATAAGTGGATCAATGTTAAGTTGAACGAGTTAGTATCAAACACTAAAAATTCAATTTTAATGGTCAATCACTATTAATTGGTATTATATATAAACATCTATCTACTTATTTTTTTAGACTTTTAAAAAATGTAAGGCGACAGTATTCAGCTACAACCGATCAAAACAACTTTTAAAAATAAAAAGAAAAATGGCAGTTTGTACATTGAAAGGTTAAAAAAATGAATTTGATCAATTATTTCAAATTGCACCCTCAATTAAATTAATTGGCAGCTATGACAATAAAAGAATTCTTATGCCATTAGAACAAAGAATGAATTTGATCTTTTGTTTCAGGTCCAACAAAGAGATGTATAAACATATACACTCATGCACAAGAATATGAAAGTAAAGATTGCAAACCTAATGCATAGAATATTCTACCATATATTTAATTTAATTTTTACATACAACTTGAACTTATGCCATCTTCAATCCTTACTCATTTCTACCATATATTTAATTTAATATTTGATTAATTTGTAATTTAACACAATTTTTATTGTAAACATTGTTGATACACTATAATGTACACATGTTGAGAATATTTTGTCGATTTTTTTAAGAAAATAATGGTTAAAAATTAATTTTAAATGATATAATCAACAGGATGAAAAGAAAAATTATTATTAAATATAATAACATTGATTTGGGAACTAGAATATTATGTTTTTTTAGTGACTTCACGGGTTATGGCTAGTCTTTAACATAATACCAGTCCATTCAGTTCATCAAAATGCCAAGCATGTTTGCTCATGGTAGGGGTCACCAAGACAGATTGATATGTCATATGAGCAAAGCTTAAAGTCTCTCGGCTAATCCTAAATTCTATTCTTTTTTTGTTTTGAGAAAAAGAAGAACAAATTGATTCACCTAATCAAAAAGACAGAAAGGATAGAGATATAAAGCAACATAGTCTGGCGGGAAAAAAACACACACATCTCGCATATTAAAAGGTTTTTTTTGGGTGTAAGTATAATTTTTTAGACTTAATTAAAGTTGTACAACCAACACCAGATGAGCAGTCGAGTCAACGATCCTTACTTTCTGTTAAATTCTAGATTCTTTTGTTCTTGATTTTGTTGATGCTGAATTTGCAGAATTAGTAGAACTAATTTCTGGTTGTGTGTTTCTCTTTCTTTTGCTATGCAAGTTATTTGTAATTTTTTGTTGAATTCTAATATTTTTGGTTTTTAAGGAAGGTTGAGCACTGTCAATGAATACTCTTTTTTTTTCAACGTCAGATTAATACTCTTTAACGCCTGTTTGATATGTTTTTTTGGGAAGGGTTTAGATTAACTTGTCCAAACCTGGGTTTGACCCAAAGATGAAATTCAAAAATAAGATTCAATATTCAATGATGTTCATACTCATGTTTGGTATGCGTATGAATATATAACTATTATGATAATATATTTGTATATAAATAATTATTGTGCTCTTTAACCAATTTGTATATATCAGATATATAGAATATATGGGAATATAAATGTCATTTGTATGTTAAACTCATTAACCCACATATGAAACCACCCACCCCTGAGGTTTCATGAAACTCAAGTATGTGAATTTTAGGACCGATCCAGATTTCAAACTCTAGACTAAATGCATAGTAAATCCCCAATTCAGGATCCAAACCACCCCCCAAACCCACATACCAAACATGCCTTTATTGGATTAGAATGTGAATGCACCTAAATTTTAGGTTGCAGCCAAGAATCCAAAATACGCTTAGTTGGGAGCAATTCCTCGTTACACGAGGGGGCAAAAAACACTTTCAAAGTAGGGTAAAGGAGACCCCGCTGGTTCAAGAATTCTCTTCCCTACAGTGTGAGTGAACTCAAAATAGCATATCACTTGCACTTGTACCACTAGATGCCTCCATTTCAACCTTGGAAGAACAAAACAACTTACCTTTTACAGTAATTGGGCTACAAGCTAGCCAAGATCAAGATTAGTTGGCACTGGTGAACAACCATATTGATCTTTCTCGAAGGTCAATTCATCGCGAGTCCCTTGTTGGTTAAGAGTATGTGTGTGCCTGCATGCATGTGCATGTTCTCAGAAAGATTTACCAAAGAAAACTTCAAACCTGCCCGACTGGAAACCATAGTTAGCAATGAGGCATTAAAGATACCAAAAGAGAGCTTATTCCCCCCTCCCCCAATCAGTCTGGTATCCACCAAAGTTCAACAAGAATGACAAATGAAAATTTGAATGATGCAGGATACCTAACAGGTACAAGAGGCAGATAAACACAGACAGTTAACGACTGGAGCCAAAACCGGGGTAACCAAGCACGCCCCCCATTCCCCACCCCACGGCAACCAAAAAAAAAAAAACCACCCCACCTCACAGAGATCATACTTTGGAACCAAGAATTCTGTTCGCATGACACTAGACTCAATAAGCTTGTGAACAATAACCTAACTCAGCAGCATACAAAATTCCGTTATGGAAATGATAACCATCATTAATTGCCTAAATATTAACGCATCAATCACAATATTACTCATTCCACAAAAACAATATGATCATGGTTCTTCTGTTCCTTTTAGTAATACCTCCAGACATAGTAAAAGAAACTCAGAACAGGTAATTCATGAAGAAAAAGAATATACCTATTCATAGTCCATTGAGATATTGTCCTCTCTGCTTCACATGGGGTGACCACAGCTGGGCTCTCACTTGACATATATTATTATTCCTGACCCATCCGCAAACCCATGTAGACAATAAGCCAAGACGTTGCTTCAACTTACGTTATGGAGTTGTATACTATATAGTTGGTGTGTAGTATTCCAAAGAGACACTAAGGTCATGACAAATGCTAATCAACTCTATTCTTAACATTGCTGATAAGAATAAATGTCAAACAAAAAGTCATGGTGTTAAAATTTCATCTTCTCGTGTAAAAAAGTTAAATTTATGATCATATCAGTAAGTTCACAAAGCTGCGGATATACTTTGCTTGAAAAGAGCAAAATATAGAAAGGAAGAAGAAATATGGACTTACCTTGTCAGATGAATTCCGAATAATTAAGAAAAGAACATGACGTGCTGCAGTTGTAGTCTGGTAGAATAGTGAGAGCTGGAACAATAGTGCCACCAAGAATTGGAAATAGAAGAAAAATCGTAAGATCAAGTTTAACATAAGTGGATGTACAAACGATGAAACCATTTGTTTTTCGAAATCCACCAAGATTTTAAGACTAATTGCTGGAAGAAACTAACATGATGCATTTTTCCATATAGAACAAAAGAATATTTCCGAGCCATAAGAAAAATAAAAAAAAACTAGAATGCTTCAAGAAAGAATCATATAAAACCAGCTCAAAATATGTACAAAACATTGAGTATCCTAAAAGTGCCTCTGCTGTAAGATTTTTGTTATACAAATGATGTACCCACCACCTATTCTATAAAGAATGTTAACTTGAGTACACCCACTTTGATGCAGGTATGGCACTCTAAATCTAATGGATGAACATACAATAGCCCCTAAAATTGGATATCCCTCCAGAAACGATAAAAAGGAATGTATGCATGTCCCAAAAGGTGTATCACAGCCATCTCAGTTAACTCTACAACCGACAGCTCTTAATCAGCAATCCATGATCCAGGGGTCAGTAGCTGTATGTAGGTTGTCAAAACTGAGCCAAAAAGACGAGGCCACAATTGAGAGAAGCTTTCCCCTGACTTCTAGTCAAGCAAACCATGCAGTCCAAGAAAGATATGAACCTGGGCAAGTATCTTTCCAGGCAAAAGATCCGGCTGAGAGATTCAAACAGTCGAAATGCTTTTCATGCCACGTCACTAGTTCCTGAATTATTTATCCGAAACACCAGTGAACTCATGGAGGTCTTCAGATAAAGGAAGTCAAATTGGGAGACTCATGTCAACACATGCAATAAAAGAAATTTCTTACCTTTGAATCTTAACAGCCAATGCTTAAGAGTTTGAATGGGCACAAACTACACGACAGGAGGGTGCATTTTGTGAGGAATCAAACAGATCTGTTAACCAAGGTCAATCTTCCACAGACATATCTCTTCGGTCCTCATTTTCTCCGATTGTTTCAACTGCTTCGAGTAAAATACTAATTCTTAGCAGGAACTTGTTCGAGCATCACTGTGTTCTGCTAAGATATCAGCATGAAGCGGCTACTACTCCACAGCTTTTGAAGCCGGGAGCAAGCACCATAAAAATTCGGAATTCATAATCTTCTGAAGCTCCCACAAGGCATAAGGAGTATGTGTGAACACCAAACAAACTGCTACAACTCTCGCTTCCCCACAACCCCAGCCGAATTTTGCTTCTTCTGAATGCCATGTTGCCAGGCATCTCGGGACTTATCACCAGACTGATCAAAATCATCCAAAGAGTTATCCATTGGCAGCTTTAAGGGCCGATAATTCCCATTCCTAGAAATTAAAGTCTTGGACTTCTCATCATCATCTTCTGCTGATGTTACGGACCTGGACTCGATGTGCACATCATACGATCTGGGTCTTAGACCAGATCTCAATCCCCTCATGTTAGAGACCTTGGCAGGCAAAGGACCATAAGCGGGTGTTTTTGGTACCAGGAAATCTTTAGGGAGAGAATCCATGTCCATATAACATTTCCTTGCTTTAGAATCAGCAATCAATGCAGCCCAATCATCGGATTGCATCAAAGCATTGGCATTTCCCATGACCTGTTAGAAGATCAAGTTCAATTATTTGAAGATAAAACCATAATCAAGCATCTAAGTGCATAGCCATCATCAAACACCTAAAAAAAATTCATAAAGAACAGAAACACATACCCAAAGAGCTCTTCTTGCACGAGTGAGAGCAACATTCATTCGACGGATATCTGCAACAAAGCCCACTCCATGACTTGAGGCACGGACACAAGACATAATAATCACATCGCGTTCTTGGCCCTGGAAAGCATCCACTGTGTTAATGTAAATATCCTTCCCTTCTTCTGATTTTAAAACATCCTCAAACTCACGTTGAAGGCACTTCAGTTGGAGCTTGTACGGAGTGATTATTCCCACAGTTACCTTTCCCACGCCCAAAGATTTTGAAGTTTTCTGAAGATGCTCATGCAAACGAAGACAAAACTGTGCTTCATAAATATTTTGATAAGATACAGACCCACCTCGGTGGGACTCCCGACCATGTGTAATATCATAAAATATGTAAGGTCTTAGTAAAGGATCCTTGTAGTATATCTCTTCAGATAAATTAGCAACCCTTTCACTATCAGTAAGGCGTCCTTGGTAAAAATACCTTGAAGGAAAATCCCTAATCTGAGGATGCATTCTATACTGCACAGACAACAACATTGTCGGGCAGCCTGCTTGCTGGAACCTCTCAAACAGGCTTCTACTGTACAATAAGGTTCCAGCTGCCTTGCTGATGACTGTTGCAGGAAGCTGCTGGGGATCCCCAACAAGAACACAGCGTGCTGCACCAAGAGAAAGGGGAGGAAGTATCGCTACTTCGCTGGCTTGAGCTGCTTCATCAATCACAACCATGTCAAAACCATGAGAAAGGCGGGAGAACAACTTACGGCCGCTGCTTGAGACAGTAGTGAAAACAATCTCAGCTTCATTGGCAAAACTTGCTTCCAAACTAGCACGAGCTTCTTCCAAATTGAAGTTGCTACCAGCACGAAACCTGCTTTCCAAAATGAGAAGTCGAGACATCTCCACTAGAATTTTATCCCTGTTCTCAACAACTGCTGCAAGATTTTGCAGCAAAGTATCTCGATTCTGGTCCCGGGCCATAAGGACATCGGGGTCAACACCAACAGATCCTTGGGCACGACCAGAAGCAGCTGCAACATTGAGCTCTCTTTGCAAGCAACCTATCTGCTGAGACAACTGAGCTTCACGGCTTCTTAACTGGTGCATCCATCCATATATTTCATCACGACTCTTCGACAAAAGCTGCTCAGTCCTACGCTCAACAGAAACAGCCTGGGCAGCACGTGTTTGGGAATCAACCCCAACTCGGGCAACATCAGGCCGATAAACTTTCATCTCACCATCAATGAACCCACGATCAAGAACACGTGCAAGCAGCTCATCCGTTGCAGCATTTGAAGGAGCACAAACAAGCATCCTTGGTTTTGGGCAAAGCTTTGGGAGAGTGCGAAAGAGATTCTGATCCATGTTCTGGAGCACTTCATCTATGGATCCAGTGGCAACGTTATCAGAATTGCTCTCGGTATTCTGCTTATAGCTTTCTGGTGCTAGTTTCTTGAGCAATGCAGTGTAGTAGTGCTGATACTGAACAAGATGGATGACATTCAGCATTCCCCAGACAGTGTGTGTCTTACCTGTCCCAGGAGGTCCTTGAACTAGGGTAAAAGGCCATGGGTCTTGCCTCTTTGTCATTCCATTAGTTGTACCAGAAGCTGTATGCATTGCAGCCCACTGAATTGCTGCTAGTTGTGGTCCATTGAAGGTCCTACGTAGGTGGTCAACAAAGCCCGGCGTAAAGCATTCAGGCATAGCAGGTGGTTGCTCTTCGTATTTGGGGAAGTGTTCTGGACTAGGCTGAAGGATTGCAGTTTGCATCTAGAAAAGAAAATATCTCGGTTACTTTGTAATTCAATGAAGCATGATGGCTACAATAAAAAAACATTTATAATTGTGAAAACTGAATTATGGTATCACCTGTGAATTGAGGCGGCGGAATGCATGCAAGCCAATATATTCCCTCTGAGTGGTTGCTAGAGAGCCCAGCACAGTTAAAAACCAGGTTCCTCGGTGGTGCAGTTTCTTTAAAATATGATCATCATCAACCTTGCTGGTAAAGTTCATATAAGAGAATTTGGGGGGGGGGGGGGGGGGGGGTATCTTCATTAGCCTATGGACTAGATTTTCAATCACAAGATAAAAATAGCAAACTTTAACTAACCTGTTAGGATCATACGAGTCCCCAACATAAAAATGAAGGATTGCACCTGGAGGATCACGTGTATCAATAGGTATGTGACGCCTCACAGTACCAGCCACACGTCCACTGACCTCAGGCTCCTCATCATCTTCAATTGCTGAGGCATTGCTCCTCCTGGATTTGACTGCTTCAGATGTCCCAAGTTTTTTTTTTTTTTGAACAGTAAATGTCACAAGTTAATATTCACATTTGAAAGCTGAAACGTGCAAAAGCACATATGAACAAACAGAATTCAAGCACCCATATAACAAACCTGTTCCAGGCCTGGGGGACGAAAGAACTGCAACATCACCCTCCTTGAATTTGCACTCATTTGCTGGAAGAAGTATCACATCATACCATCCTAAGACAATAAGAGGAAAATAAACATAAGGCACGGGGTACGAGATAATATAGATTATCTATAGGATGAGTCTTCCAGTCAGGTAAGAGTTCATTTAAAACCAGCAATACAATCCTACAAGAAAACAAAATATCAAGTTCCAGACACTATCCCTTCAAAATTATCAGAAGCACAAGAAACATAATACAAATTATAGCCACATGGGAAGATTAGAAAAGAAGTTTTATAGTGAATGAAATGAAAACCGACACATAACCCCCTACACAATCACTAATGGAACAGTAATGACACAGCCATTGCCTGGTATTAGTGTGACGAATGTGGTTGCTGAAAGGAGCAGTTTCCAAATTATGCACCTAAAATTTTCGTGCAAGTGAGAAATTGAATAATATGCCTTTGATTCATTGATCAAAATACATAGATGCGATTATACTACTAACTTGATTCAAAATAATTCACAATGCAAAAAAAAAAAAGAGTTGTGTATAACAAAGGACAGTACCTCTTTCTCGTCTTTCAATGCTTTTAACACGGACAATTACATGCGAGTCTCTAGAAGTTGTTTCAGTCGACTCCTCCCAAGTACTGTAGAGCTGTGCCCGACACTCCTCAAAAAGCAAAGGCTCAAATACTCCGACATACTCTTCTACGGATCCAAAACGACCAGGAACACATTGAAGCTCAGCCTCCTCTGATGTGCAAAAATTAGGATTAGTGTAGTACAAAGAGAGCGAAAAAAGGAGAGCCAGAAACTGAATGTGCTGTCAGGAAAACAGAAGGAACCAGAAAACTGTGAAACAGCGGAACCATCAAAATATAAGGCAATAAACACTCAAATCATCCACAATCTTGGCGAAGTTTGAAACAAGGACTACTTCTTAGTACTTTGATTAAATGCAATATCGGTGCCAGTTTACAGCTCTTCAAATTAGCTTACATCATACGAAGAAACTTTTGTTTTTCACCCAGAAGTCTTGATTTCAACAAGAACAAAATGAATAGCATACAACTTCAACTAAGCGAATTAAATATATCTTTATTTTATCAGATTAGCCCACAAGATTCCTGCAAACAAATAAAATGACTACAGCTCATTTCGGAATGAGTTGAAGGATTCTTCCATCTAACAAGCCAACCTGATGGTTAGAAGCCCACCTCATTAAGCTGCAGGAATCCCCTACTGCACCTGGCCTGAACAATACAAGCATTACCACTGATGAACAAAGTATTTGACCCACAATTAGTTATGGAACACACCAATTTTGGAGAGGGAAAGAACACCAAAACAAGGATAAGGACAAGTGCTAAAAAACAAAGTGTATGACATTACAGTAATCCCCTCCCACCAAATTACCCCAGCTATAGCACCATGAGAATAATAGACGATGCAGATAATATAGGACCACCTAAATTCTGAGACTGATAAAAGCTCAATGACAAAACTTCATCATTAAAAGTTTATTTCTCTGCTGATAACATGGACTCCTTTTGGAAAAATATTGAAAGATGCAGCACGTCAACCTTGCTGATTAATAACAATTTAAATGATAAATTAAAGTGCACTGGTTCAACATGGCATTAGAGAAACCCTAAACACATTGTTTTAAATCTCTTCTTTGCAAACACGAGAGAATGTAATATTGCAACATCTCGACTCAAACATGGTCACGATAGGGAGAACAATCCAAAAAATGAAGCTTTCCATGACAATCAAACTTAGTCTCTTGAACTAGAAGTGATTCAAGAAAAGTGTAACAAGTACATGGTTATATTATATGTTGACATTCTGACCAAGGGTACCTATCTCTGCATAATACAATCTTCGTCTTTGAGACTTCAACAGAGATTAATTAGTCAAGATGGTAAAAACGAGAAGTCTGAGGTGCTCACTGAGGCTGCAATCTCAAATAAAAAGCGTATATGTGCCAGGTAAAAAGTGAAATTAAACCTTCAGTCCAACCATGGTGCAATATAGCATGAAAAATTCAAATTTATATGACACCATTAAGCAAAATAAAATTATATCATGCGTAATCCGAAAAGAACAGTCAAAAAGTAATTTTCTCAGATAAGAAATAATAATTTGATACCTGGATGATGCCAAAATTTTTCATTTGTCACCTCACGCAGAAGCCGTTCCACCGATGTATCTTGATACTGGGTGCTGACTACAGGTTGCTTCTTGGAAGAAAGTTTTTTGACTCCCAATTTTAGATCCATGGAAATTTGACCCATTAGAGCCGGTTTCCTACTGGAGACCTGCAAATTCTTGAGGTGCCTCGAATCTGTGGGCTGCTGCCATGAACTTTGTCTGGAAAGTGGTTGAGCCTCTGCAGCAAGATCTGTTGAACTATTTAGCCTCCTAGGCCGAGCTAGAAGTGCCGAGTTCATATCACCATTACATTCAGATTTAGAGTCATCAGTTTCCAGATAATTGTTTCCTTCATTGCATGATAAATCAACAAGTTTAGCATCCTTGATCGTCGGCTGCATCTGCTTTTCTCCAGTTCGTTCAGAAGGTGGAAGAACAGGACGTGCTTCTTTCACAGTACGGGTTGTAATGGGTGCTGGAAAGTTCTGCCTTCTAGGAGTTGAGGTTTTGATGGGGCCAGCTTGCTTGATATCTTCCAAATTAAGAAACATGGTCTGCCTACTGCGCTTCTTTCCTAGCATGGCTTCCTTGTGCTGGTCAAGCTTAGGCCGCTTTCCAGTATTGTTGGCGTACTTTGGTGCATGACTAGCTTCCACTCCTTTAACTTCTTTTCGTTTTAAAACCAAAGCAGAATCTTCATGACCATCTATAGAGAAATCACCTTTGCAACTACCTTCTGAATTTCGGCTAGTATTGCTTTTTCTATCATTTGTATCTGAATCTAATCCTAGCGAAGGATGATTACTATTTTCATCCTCAACACTCTCAGCATGCTGAGGAACATGTTCCAAAGCTCCACCAGCATCATTTTGAGCCATCAGCTCAGCCATTCCATTTTCCTGTGAGCCTTTGTCATTACCAGTAATTACATATTCCTGCATAGTACTGCCTTTGAAGTCATCAGTGGATCCCTCTGCATCAGACCATTCCCCTTCTTCTTTTTCAACAGCCTGAAAATCTGCAGAACCCAAATCTAGTTGTGGGGCTACTTTTGGATTCTTGCTGCTACCCGACTTAGATGATGAGGCTACCCTGGAGCTCATATCCCATCCCCACTTCGGTTCAATAGAAACTTCAGATCCTTGAGTATCTTTTGGCCGAACAAAAGGCTGAAAACCCGAAACAGAAGATGCATGGGAGAAAGCATGGTTATTCACTATTCTTTCAGGGACCAAGGATGCTGCAAACAAGTCAGAAGCATGTGTACTTGAAGAAGGAACCGCCCTTTGAGGCTGTAAGCATAAGACACCATCACTCTCCTCCTCATCCACAGCAGGGGGTTCATTAAGATCAAATAACAACCTTCCTTTAGAACCCATCTCTTATATAAATGCATACAAATTAAATAATATATCCTAATAGATTCAAGTCTCACTCTTTCTATTTTCTTTCTAGCAGAAAATGGACATGACATGCCAACGGCAGAGGCAGAGGCAAATCAGCAAAATCTTCAGACCTCTGAAGTGTTGAAATAATCACTACAAAAACAAATTGTCCCTGCAAAGCAAGTTCGGCAAAGCAACCTCTTAGAACAGGGAAAAAATCATTGCATTCACGCAAAGTTGCACAAGCTCACATTAATACTAGATTTTTTATAAAAGGTAGACATCAAGCTTGGCTCTTCAAAATAAAACTAAAGGAACCTCAAAAGCTAAATTGCAAACACCATCACAGCTGAAAATTTTCAATCAGCATGCCCAACCCAGCTTCATACCCTTAATCATGTACGAATATGCCACCACTTGAAGTGTATCTTGGAAGTAAATGAGTGTAAATATGTAAAATATCAAACACCTTAAAAATGTCAAACAACCCAATCACTTAACACTCGACAAGCCCTAATGTGGTGCATGTAAAAACATGCCCCAATGTAGAACCTCTTGGAGACCTAAACCACTAGTCAGTAGTAGTAAGAGCCTCTCAGTGCCACAAGTCCCAAATCAATTTGTTTTCTTCTACTGCTACAAATTTCAGCATTAAAAGAAAAAGAAAAGAATTACTTGTTTTCCCAGCAGTATATTGAACCAACACAAACCCAGCTCAGCACATGTATCATTGATCAATATAGCTCACAAGTCACTACTGAATGATGCTAATCAATACTTTAGCAGAGAAAACCTAATATTACGACAAACAAATCAGAACCCTAATGCCCAGATAGAGCGGCAACAAGGCAGAACAAATTGACATAATCAAATCCAACTACCTCATAAATCAACATAGCTTACAAATATCACAATACACACTCAAAACACTAATTAATCCAACAACAAATTAGCACATGTCAACACCCAATTCTCCCAACCACCGCCAGGTTAGTACAGGATACCGACTAGTTTACCTAACACGAATCCAGGCTTCCATTAGGGTCTGAATAAACACACACAACAAATATGAATCCTTTTTACCCAAGTCCAAAACCCTCAATTCAAACGAAATCCACACACAGAACCGATGGTATCGATCAGTAATTCATATGTAATCCCGCACAGATCGAGCGTAGTTTGAATATCAACGCCACACAATAGATTAACAGCATAACGGGTTGAATAGAACCAAAGGGTCAAACAAATTAGACAGTATTTCTCGATCTATTCCTTGGACAAATAATTGTCTAACAATATTGTTTAAAGTTAGATTAAATTAAGTTAAATTAACAAGTAGGAGAGAAGAAAAAATTAGAAGTTTACCTCTGGAAATCACCAAATCTAGAAAGACAAAATAGACAAATAGATATAGATGTGTATATATAGGTATGGAGAGATGGAGGGGCAGACTGTTGTTAGGACGAGAGAGAGAGAGAGAGAGAGAATGCAAATACGAGGGGGGTAGTGAGGGGTATTTATAGGAAATTATCGGGGCCACCGGCCGGGAAAGTATCCGATCACCGTTAATTTAAATCCCGGCGGAGGATTAGTCGGGGGTTGCTTTTGTTAATTTTTTAATTCTGTTTTATCTATCCTAGGAAATACATAATTATGACGTTGAGGTAATAAGATACCCTTATTTCTTTACTTATTTACGTAACTAACATGACGGAGGAGTGACCCGTGAGGATCGGGCAGAAGAAGGACTGAAGGGCAATTATGGTATTTGGGGTTGTACGGATCATGCTGTTCTGTCAATGTTTGTTTGCATGTTATCCATGTGTACGTTAATCTTGGATGCCAAATTGATCATGGACCATCGATTTAGGAATCGACCGACTCGACTTGACAACCGCCTGGAAGTGTTTTGGTTTTTGCAATCTGATTTCTATTTGGATTAGGAATTTGTCTTCTTGCTCCCTTTATTTGGTAAAAAGTTCTTTTGTTATCTATTTTTAGTTTACTAGTAACGTACTCACGAAAATAAATTTAAATAATATTTTTTTATGAAAAAATTATTTATAAAATTATAACAATAGTTAAAATTGATTTAATTTTATTTAATTTAATAGAATTATATAATAATTTTTTTCTTCTTTCCACATCCCCAATTTCAAGCAACTTGACCAACACATTTTCCAATACTAGATAACATTAATCCACACATGTCTCTCTCTTCTCAGTACGTTATCTCTCTCTTATAATTTTTTTTTTTTAATTTTAAATTATATAATTAAATAAAAATAATAATTTATTATTTAAAATATAAATATGATGCAATTAATGGTCAAAAACGAATCTATACCACTTTTAGAAAATTGATAATCAAACTTATTTTTTTGACAAAAGTCACACGTGGGCCTAAAATATACAGAGTGATTAAACAGGGTTATTATTTTTGGAGTGAGATCCTCTATTTTTATTTTTATTTTTAATTTTAATTTTTTTATAAACATCATTTAACATAAATTTAAGTAAGATCTACTATTTTAAAATTAGAAAATTATAATGAAACACATGTGGAATCATTAACAAAAATTAAAAGTCGGGTGTTATATAATGGAATCATTAACCAAAAAAATGTTTCACATTTCTAAATCTAAGTTTAGCATTAAACAAAAATTATGAGGCCCGAATATCCTAATTCTAAAAATTCAGACGCCCTGAGTTCGAATCTTGACAATTTCTTAGGGTCAAATCCTGAAGGATCTGTACCCTAATTTCGATATGGATGTCTTGTTTTTTACCGGACAGAGAAAAAAATTAGTCAAGATGTGTATAAGTTTGCTCAAATATCCCTTATTGTTAACCAAAAAAAATCATAAGTAATAAATAAATCCATATTGATGTCTAAATTCAATAGAGAATGGCGTCAAAATTGCACGAGTCTTTTTCTTTTTTATGATGGACATTAGTTGAAATTAATGTTGATAGTTACTCATAAATATAGTTGTTTTTGAGGGGCTAAATAGAAATGAAGTTATAAGGGAAAAGGGCACTTAAATTTGCAAATTTATGTTAAGCTTATTGGGGGGGGGGGGGGGGGAATTTTATTTTTTTTTATTTTGAATGCAATAGAATATCTTATATGAGCAAAGTCAACACACTTATATCGAGACATCTATCTTGATTTGAACTCCTCAAATTTATCCTACACGATAAAACGTGTCAAATAATGTCTTATTTTAGGTATGAAAATTCAACCCCCACCGAGGATAGTTAAAAAGTTAATAATTATGAGTTATAAATTCAGAAGTATTAAATTTAAATTTTTATAATTAATTGGGGTTAGGACATGTGAAATTTATCTCTTATGAATATCCTAATTCTTACATGGATGACTTATTTTTTATCGAATCAAAAAGGGAATTAGTTGAAATATGTATAAATTGATCTGAACACTTTTGATCGTTAAAGGAAAAAAAAAAAGACTCATTCACTGACCAAAAAAAAACAATTAGTCTCTTTATACTTTTGAAATATGCACCTAATTTTTATTTGGTCTTTGAAGTTTTAATTATAAAAATTACATTCCAAAAGTTTTAACTGAGCTTAATTTAATCATTCAATCCAGATTTATTAATTTGTTCTAATAGAAGTACGTCACAGAATTTATCCATAAAGGCATATTTGTTGAACAAAGATTTCTCTCTCAGACACATTATTATTTTTCTCTCTGTCTCCTAGTATTCTCAAATATTCATTTGTGTCTAGTTTTTTCGAGTTTGTTATTATTTTTTTATTTATCAAAATTGAATGAAAAAATGGAAAACTTTCTACCTTATGCATGAAATACTTTTCACTAGACAACTATACACTTGTACCCAATTCACGTGTTAAACACGGAAAGTCATTCCATCATAATAAAATAGTAAATTTAAATGTAAGGATTAAATTAAAAATCAGTTAAAATTACGAGGATTTGGTTGTTACAACTGAAACTTTAAGGACCAAATAGCAATCAAGTTTATATTTTAAGGGTTTAAATTATAATTCACCATTTCAATTAAGCAATGTTACTTAGATTTAAAATAGTGATTTGATTTGTTGAGTAATTAATCACTACCATTTATTTAATTAACTCAATATGATTTAACATTTTCCTTCAGTAACTTGAATCACCCACGTCTCTATCGAGCTGAATTTTGATTAGGTTGCACAGATGGGGCAAGTAAGCTGGAACACAGGAAATCACTTCCCTTTTTTGTGTTAGGAACTGAGGGTAATTAAGTCTTTGCACACCCTGGACAAAAGGTTAGTATAAATTCCCACCTTCGAGAAAAGCGGATGGGATTACGGAGTCCTATTAGATGAGAACAGTGTGATTTGTCGCATGCACTATTCACTTGGGAAATATGTAGTATCGCCACATGTCATTGGAGATAGTCATATGGTTTTTTTTTTTTTTTTTTTTTTAATAATAAAGATTGTTTCAAGCAATATTAAAAAAAAAAAATGTTTTGGTTGCTTTGTAAATTTAAAATGTGTAATTGTAAAATTATTTGTATTGAGTTTTTTTTTTCTTTGTATTTGTACCGAGTTATTTAGTGTACTTTTAATGAGATTTGAATTTAAATTTTCGAGATATTCCTTTAACAATAATATGCACGCCTTTTGATCGTGTAAAATTTAAAATCATTTTGCATTGAGTTATTTCTAAGGTTTTAAAAATTTCAAGATATTTCCTTAGTTAAAAAGAAACAACAATATTTTATCTCATTTTTTTTTTCTTATATTTTAACCTTATTGATTTGACCACATTTTACACACTCTGCCCCAAATTTGAATGGCCTGCAAATTTTAGTACACGAGCTAAACCTCTAAAAAATCTCATATGTAATTAGATAGTGACCTTCCCATTACTCATTTATTGGGCATAACACGACAAGAAAGATTCATTACTAATTGACTATAAAGAGTAAAATTTTTTTTTATTAATACTACTCTAGTGAAATTGACAATTAATAATCATAATAACATTTCCTCTGCCTCTGTTATTTGAAGGTTATATGTTAACTCTCTATTTCCTGCTCCTTCGTACACAAAAGACATCCATCATTTTGGAGCTTTATTAGTAAGACCCGAATTGTCTCTTAGCTTTGGCTTAATAGATGAAACAAATGCTCTCACTTATTTTTGTTGTTGAGAATGGGATGCTAATATTGTTAACTTGGTAGTAGGTTTAGGGCTAATAATTACGTCAAGTTATTCGGGCTCGACTCGACTCAAGTTCCGCTCGTGTTCTAAATAAATTAAGTTTAAACAATTTTTTAGACTTGTTTTAGAAAACGAACCTAAAAGGCTCGACTCAAGATCGTAAAACTCGATTTATTTATATGTAAAATAGTCGAATTGCTCAGGTTCAACTTGGGTTTGGTTTGGCCCAGGCCCAGGCTCAATTCATTTTTTAAACGAGCCGAACTTGAATAATTTTTTAAGTTCGTTTAAAAAAATGAACTCGATAAGTTCAGTTTAAGTTTGTAAAGTTCGACTCGATTATTGTGGGTCTCATTTAATATTCAGATTCATTATTAGTTTACTGTGTTGAAACATCATTACTTCCTAAAATTCCAGGTCCCACTGTTATTTTTTTTATTTTATGTTTTGGATTACATTAGGCACCTTGTTTTCTTTGCTTAGGCTGATTAAGAATTTTGAAAAATTCATTTACAAAGTCCCCAATCTATCATTAGTTCATTCTATTGTTTTGTGTTTTCTCTTTTTCTAGGTTCTTGAAATCATTAATTAGAAAATGGCAAATCTATTGTGTATATTGAGTTAGAAGGCTTAATTAGTTATAGTTTAAGTTAACCATGTCAAGAGGTTGGGGCCAAGATTGGTAGTCCTTGATACCATCACATCAGTGCGTGACCAAACTACCCAATATTGTTTGGTGGTTGCACTGTGGCTGCGTTTGGTAAGCATTAATTTATAGGTTAATTGCTAGTTACATTCCGAAAGATAGTTTGAATTTCAATTTATACTCTCAAAGATAAAAAATTTTAATTTATGACCTCAAAAATAGAAATTTGTATCAATGTGCACCCCCAAAGATAAAAAATCTCAATTTGCACCCCCAAAAATAGAAATTTGTATCAATGTGTATCCCCAGAGATAAAAAATATTAATTTACACCATTAAAGATAGAAATTTGTATCAATATGCATCTAAAACTATACCTAGATCCCCTCATACTTGTCACTTAATCATTTAAACCCCTTTACGTTTAGAATATTACTCTCACATCTCATAGTGTTTGTGCACGTGTAACACGTAACCCTTTTTCGTTGATGTATGTTAATATAACAGTTAAAAAATATGATTTTATCCTAATAAAAATTTATAATTTCATATTATCTTTTATTTTGTGGTAAACTTGATTTTAAATTTTAAAGTATATTGGATTGATACAAATTTTAAGTTTGAGGGTGCAAATTGAGATTTTTTTTTCCTTGGCGATATACAT